TCATCATCATTATTATTATCCAATTTTGAATGAATGCATGTATATGAGGAATAGAGAAAATATTATACAAACATTATAAAGTCGGATACAAATTTTTCAATTTCCGTTTTCCTTTTTTTTTCTGATTCGTTACTTTATTTTTATTATTAAATCAAATTAGATTGTATAGTTTCGATCATCATCATTATCATCATGGGTGAAATTAAATTGAATCAGTAAAATTTCTTTTTTCAAAAAAAAAGAATTTTTTTCTGCCATTTCCACGTTCAGATATCCAATTATATTTTTTTTACGAGAACTGAGAAAAAAAATCAAGAATAAAATCAATCAGTTTCTTTTTTTTTTTGCACAATTTCAGTATTTCACACATACATACGCATTCATGTTTATTATTATTATTATTTTACCAGCGATCCGAATCAATCCAAAACCGGAATCATCATCAATAATCATCATCATCATCATCATGATCAATGATAGTCATAGTCACACAATGAAATTATTTGATCTTTTTTTTTATTACCATCATCATAATCACTATTGTTGAAATTTTTCGTTTCAATCACATTCGAAATATCAAAAAAAAATGTTTAAACTTTGTTACAGAATATAGTGAAGAGAATTGAACAAAAATCAACCAATAATTTTTTATTCTGTGCTATGATTTTATTGGTTTGAAAAAAAGGATTCGTTATCATTTTTATGACTTTGATAAAAGAGAAACCAAAAAAAAAAACTTTGTATGTGCGTGAGAGATTTTCAAACCTTTGAAACTTTTTTTTTCATTTTCATTTTTTTTCTATAGAATTGAAAAAATAATATTGCTTGTTGGTAATGTTCAATAATGATAAGATTCATTTACAGGGTTGCCGTTCGTTTTAAATTTCAATTTATCATTCGATTCTATTAGTGAAGTGAAACGATAACAAACAAAAAAAAAATATCCATGAAACTAACGAATAATGTGAGCAAATTGTGAAAAAAAAATCGAATGATTTTTAGACGTTCGAAATACAGAAACATCTCGACTTACGAACTCACGAGTGATGAATTAATTCCGACTTAATTCTGTTAGTCGAAATGTTTCTGTATTTCGAACGTCTAAAAAAACCAATAGAGTCGGGTTTTGAGATTCGCAGACATGATTCATTCTTCGCCAAAAAAAAAGCAAATTAAGCACGCTTTGTCACCTTTATTTTCCTTTTTTTCCTATTCGAATTTCCAGAAAAGGATTTTCATACTTTGAGTTTATGTATGATTCAATGAATTAATGATAAATTAGTATCTATTCATTAATTTTTCAGTAAACAACAAAGATTTTTTTGGTGAAACCAATTCGAATTTCAAACTCTCATCGACCGGGTTTGTTTGTATGATTTCATTTTGTTGTTGCTGTTTTTTTTCGTATTCCAAAACCTAAATTACAATTAAATAAACAAAGATTTTAGATTATATGAACTGTCCACATGATTGCATACATGAAAATGTTGTTATGAAAGAAAAAAAAGTGATCAAATTTGTAATTATTTCATCTCTTGTTTAGTTGAAAAAAATCGGTTCTTTTTTTTGTAAAAAACGGTAACAACTCTTTATTTTTTTCTTATTCATTTCATCCATCCATCCATCATCCATGTTGATGGGTTGTTGATTTGATTTCATTCAAGTGTAAATCTACATACATCTGGCCAAAGTTATTGTTAAATCAAATATTGTTCGAAGCTAACATCGAGGAACAGAAAAAACAAACACACATTGATACAAATGACTCATATATATAGAAATATATAAAAAATTAGTTCGTGCCAACAAGCTAGTCCCCAATGATTAACCAACCGCCAAGGCCGTAACCAAACTCGAATAGTAAAAAATAAAATCCAAATAGCTTTTTTTTTGACAATCAAACAATGATGACCGATTAGCACGGAAATTCATTCATTTGATTCGATACGATACGATCCAAACGAATGAATAAGGAGAGAACGGAACATTGTACGAAATGGTAGGGAATGTAAATGCAAATATTTCAATAAATGATTAGATGATGATTTGTATTTTATATGCATTTTTTTTGTCACCATCATCATCATCATCATTATTATTAGTATTTGATGTTCATTTTTATTTTACCTCCTTTACCGCGATTTTTTTTCGTACCATAAGGTTGCTTTATACAATCTTGTTTGCGCCAATGTATTTGAGCCAAAAATTCTTAAATTCTTGATTCAATTAAATTTTCATTTTCATTTCAAATATTCAAACATTGACATTGTTGTCGGTTTTTTAATGATTATAATGAGATTGTAAAACAACGAGAGAAAAGAGAAAAAAAATATACGATGACAAAATGTCCATTCAAAAGATCAATTGACGAATGGATGACATGTATGTTTTTCGTAATCGGAAACACACACATTTTTGACTATCTGACAGAACCTAACGAAAGAAAAAGCGAAAAGCTGAATGAATCCTATAGACATCAATTTGACATCATGTTTCATGATTTGGTTCGGGTGTGATGAGTTGACAACGAAAAAAATTTCACATTTTTTTTTGTTTGTTTATTTTTGTTTTTATTCAGTTTCTTTTATTTTATCATCATCATTATTCATTTCAGAAATGATTCAGATTTTGAAACGAAGCAAAAAAAAAGAAAAGAAAATCTCTCCAGAGAATCATTTGATAATAGATATGTATGTTTGCCATTGATTCTATGATATTTTGTTGTTGTTGTTGTTGTTGTTGTTGACGACCTTCAATATATTATATTCGGAAATTTTTGTCTTACCATCACTCTTTTGCCTGGCAAAAAAATCGAAAAAAAAACAAACAGAAGGAAGAAAAGATCCATTTCAATCCATTAAAATTGATGCAAAATGATAATTAATCGTCATCATCATTGTCAAACACTATACCTGATCATATTGCTTTTTTCCAAAAACAAAACAAAAAACTTTCAACCGGTTTGACCAAAATAGATAAATTATTCAGTCATTTTGAAATGAATCGATCAATTCTAATTTTTTTCTTTTTTTCTGAAAAATACGTTCGACTTTGAAAGTGTCAAATTGACATCATTTCTCTTGTGTTTAATATAATTATTATCCAAAGTATAAAACAAAAGTAAAAAAACTTAATTTTTTCAGTTTTGTTTTTCATCAATTCAATTCATTTCATTCGAGGTAATTCAATATTTCAAGCAATGAGGCGAAATTTTTTCCAAAAACGAAAAAAAAATTGGCTAAATAATCTGTGTGTGTGTGAAATAAAAAAACGAAATGAAAAATTAATTTTCTCTCTGTTTGTTTTTCTTTACTTTTTTTCCTCGCTATGTTTTCAACTTCTTTTTTGATAATTCAATTCAGAATGATTCAATTCTTCGATTGTCATTCGATTGTCATTCAATTGTTGTTTAGTTTTTTTTCAAGTAAAATAACTAAGAAGTTGTTAGTTCAACTGGATGATGTTTCTGTTTTTTTTTTCATTTTCTATTTTCAATAGAAAATAAATTTGTAATTCTAAGCAATGAATTGAATTTTTTTTTCTACTAAATAAACTTTTCATTTCATTATTGTAGAAAGAATTTATTCTTTTTATCATGAATCGAATCCAATGATGATGATGATGATTACAAGAAGAATTTGTCAACTTTAATCTTGAATTGAAAAGAACAGAATAAAACTCTCTTATCACTTATCTCTTATTTGAAGAAAAAATCGTTTGGTTCTTATTGCAAATCATATACATTCTGTTGTCATACAAAAAGATAGACAAAATGACAAAGTGTCACGTTTCAACAAAAAACTGAACTGAACTGAACTGAATGGATAAAAATTCTAAAAGCTTTAAAATTAATTAAATTCAATCACAATGAATTTAAAGTTACAAACGTAAAATGTAGAATAAAACAATGATATTAAAAAAAAGAAACTTATTTTTTTATGCATTCAACTGATTAGACAAAGATGATTGATTGATTAATACAAGATACATTAATTCAATTTGACAATGTTTGATTGGAAATGTGAAAAAAAAAAAAAAATATTCAAGGATATTTGTATTAGACTAACAACAACGCCCTGAAAAAAAGGGTTTGAATATGGTGACCATACATCATTGAAAATTGATAAAACAATCAATGATAATGATTTCCTTCATTTAAAATGAATGTGAAAAAAAGAAAAGAAAAAACGAAAGTTTATGTTGATTTTTCTCGCCATAAAACCTACATATTTACCAAGTAAATTATGAAGATAATAATGGAACAAATACAGAAATCTAGAATTTCTTTTATAAAGGTTTATGTTTTTTATTCATAAGTTTTTTTCTTGGTAAAGATTCTGTGATAAAAAAAGTAGAAAATTAATGGCATTCAATCAATAGATATGTCCATCATAGAAAAAACAAACAAACAAACATTTTTTTCTGGATATAAACAAAAATATTAGATCTTTTTTTTCCTTCAATGACATAGATAATATTCCATTATGATTTGATCAATGCCATCAAAAATTCAACAAACACAAACATATGTAAGATGTTATCTATGTTCACAAAAAAAAAGAATGATATTAAAAGCTTTTTTTCCATGATGCTCATTCTTTCCTTTGTTGACGATTATAACAACACAACAGCAACAATTTGATAAACATAAACCAGGGAGAAGAACAAAAAACCAACAATACTAATGCATAACCGAATAATGTGTGTGTGTGTGTGTGTATCAATCCGATTGTGATAAATTGGCCCGAAAGCAAATTCAATAATGATAAATATAATAACCGTAATCGATCCAGATGTTCAAAAATCGATGTATGTTTTGTTCCAAATAGTTCCCATACACGGATATAAAAAAACATTTGAACAATCATACGGCATCTGTCGGAAATTACCGGATCCAAGCCGAAATTTTCTACAGAAAAAAATCCTACCGATAGATGGCTGATAAAGTATCATTTAAAAAATTTTATTAAAAAAATTATTTTTTTTTTTGTTTTCACAATTTCATTTTTTTTTCATTAATCATCAAAATAATTGATAACTTTTTTGTTACGATTTTCTTCGCTTGCTTTTTTATATTTGACGATACTTTGTTTTGGTCGTAAATCTTTAACATCAATATTGACCGCTTCTAATAGTGAAGTTTTCGGTATGGATGAATTTTTATTCGCAGTAATTACTATACTACGATTTGGTTCCTTATCCACCGATTCAGTTTTCAATCCAAAATGGGCTGCATAATTATGTATAATTTCACGATTATTTCGATTCATAGGTTGAAAATTATAACACATAATTTTCTGGTTAGACTAAAAACAAATATTAAAATAAATTAACGTTAATCAAAAAAAATGCCAATCAAATCAAAATAATTCATACCTGATTAAAAGCATCCAACAATTGGACAAATTTATCATGTACATTCATAATAAATTGTGGATTAGAACGAGCTTCATTTTTCAATTGATCAGAATATTTAACAAGATTAGCACCGATCGTTAGGCCTTCTGAATCAACACCCAAAGCATCGGCTAGATTTCGATTACGTTTTTCGCGTGCACAATCTTGATCACATTCAAGTGAATGTTTTGCATTATGGCGTACCATTTCTTTCATTTCATCCAATGTAATTGATGAATTAAAACTAAATCGTCGTAAAATATCATCCAACTGTCGTTGAAATTGACGAGAATCTAATACAGTACTACATTCAACCTCTTTAGATTTATATTCGCATTCACAATAGATCTTGATTCGTTCATGACATGGACTTTCAGGACAAATTTCCGATGAAATCTGATGACAAGGTAAGCCACATTGATGCAAACAATCCGGTCGTATTTTAATACATCGTTGAGTACAAACAGGACATTCACCGTCATGACAAATTTTCGAACATTTATGTAAACCACATGGCAATGGTTTCTGACAGAAACGTCCGCATGAAACGCCATTTTCATAACAATGAACTGATTCTCGTACTTCATGACCTCCATAACAAAGACGGCTAACGAATTCTATACAAGGTGGACATTCTGGTTCATCATGACAAGGATGCAAAGGTGTATGATCACAACCATGATTTCTTGAACAAGGTCGCTTACAAGGTGGTTTTAAAGTGCCACAAGGTTGTGGTGGAAATAATTTTTCCTGTCCACAATTACATGTTATTTCATCCCATATTACATTTGGACAACTTCGACAAACTTGATGACATTGTTCTTCGCATGTATGCTTACCACAAATAAGTTTTCGGCCTTTATGGAATGAAAAGGAAAAAAACAAATGAAATTAAATAAAACTATTTTCATCAAACATCATTACCACAAGTTTGCCGACATGGATGCTCTTTTTCCGTACAACATTCCTTAAGACATTTGTGTCGGCCACAACTGAGTTTCTTATTACATTTTCGTTTACATTTGAATGTTTTTGATTCCAGATTCTTGCAATTAATTTTTTGAGAATTAGCGCCACAATAACATCGAATTATGGTCGTTTGATCACAAGCAGGACATTCGCCACTATGACAAAAAGATTTACATCGATGTGGTTTATCATTATCACTACCACACGGAAGAATTTTATCACAAATTTTTCCACAATTTGAAATCGGATCCAAACATGATTTTCGTGTCTGTTGATTGGCGATACTAGATAGGCTTGTATTACCACACGGACATTTAGTGACCGATTCTGGACTTAATGGACATGAACCACACGAACCAGAATGACATAATTTTTCACATTTATGCGAACCACATTCGAATGGCTTTGAACATATTTTTTCACAACAGTATCCAGACTCGAGATCGATACAGCTAACAGCCTGGCGAGATTCTTTTCCACAATAACATTTCATTTCAAAAATTTTTTCACATGGATCACATCGTCCGAAATGACAATTCTTTTGACAACGATGTTTGCCACAATCAAGCAATTTATTACAAGGTTCTGAACATTTTATGTCGGACAATTTTGCCGCACAATTCAATGACATCTAAAAACCGTAACAAAAAATATAAAATTCGAACCTAATTTCTGAAATAAAGGTGATCTTACCTTAGTTTTTCGACATGAACAAATTCGTTCAACTTTCACCGTACATGGAGGACATTTTCCAGGATGACACATAAGAGTACATCGATGTTTGCATTCAAAATATTCTTCGTTTTCGATTTTTATATTGAATAATTCAAGATTTTTTGAACACATTTCACCGCATGAATGAGGAACACGGTAATTGCTGACTTCTGGATCTCTTAATTTACCACAAAAACAATGGTAATAATTGGGAAAATTCCGATGCACTGATTGACATGTAGGACAACGCCATTCCTGAATCTGTTGATTTTTTTTCTTATCTTGAGAAGTTGATGCTTCATTCGGATCTATCGATGATTTACGCGCCCATTGTTGTGTACATTTTAAGTGAAAAACATTGAAACAATTATTACAATTCCATGTTCGATCATGAACACGAATCATATCACAACATATGATACATTCATATTGTGCTTTACGCAATAATTCATCCATGATTTCTCGCTGACTTTCTAGATCAGATTTCACTCGATTCTTAACTGTTTTGGTAGCATCCATACGAATAGATTGTTTGCCATTGGTATTATCATTTAAACCTCGATTTCTAGGAGCTTGAAAATGATGACGTTGATGAAAATCTTGTGATCGATGGTGACTTGTACTTGGTATATTTCTTAGGCCATCATCATCATGATATGCTTTATCGCGATCATCACGATTTACAGAATTTGAGCCATTGTTCATATCCATTCGGTTAAAACGATTGTGAATATCAGATTCATCTTTAGGAATTTGTTGTTGGCTTTCATTATTACGATAACGAGTTTGGTGATTATTTCTCGAACTATTTTCATTTGAATTAATTTGACGATTACGTGCAAATCTCGGTGGCAAATCACTTGATTGATAATTTGTTTTTGTTCCAGATCTAAAGCCATAATTATTCGATCTTCTTGTATCATAATTATCCTGATCTCTAAAATGATTATTGGAACGAGAAAAATTCTGTGATCCTCGATGATGATTATTACGATCTACATAATTGTTGTTTTGATTATATTGTTGACGATGGGGATGATTTAAATAACGATTATTTGTGGACTGATCGATACAAGCATTATTATTGTAACGATAATTATCATTAGAATTGTCCGGTTGGTCCATTGTTGATTGTAATAAAAAGACTTTGATAATAAGATGGTAAGAAAAAATTCAATAAATTATACAATTAAAAAAAAATTTTAACAATAACTATTGAACCAAATATTTCTGCGGCTTTTATTAATCCAAAAATATATTTCGTTTTAAACGAATGATAACAAAAAAAAAACGTTGCTTGAACGACTGGATTCAGTCACAACAACAAAAACAAACAACAAAACAACACTTCCAACACGGCTTTATACCAGAAAGTTTCCAGTATTAAAAATGATCATTTTTTCCCAGTGAAAATATTCCCGGAAATCATAATTATTTTGTTGTTATCCTTTGGTCGTTAATTCTTTGTTTAGCAAAATTTTTTTGCTACGCATTTGTTTTCATTCAAATTTTTTGTTATTGTTGAAAAAATGGGTGAAATTAATGATGAAATTATCGATGAAAAACCTCCTTTTTATAATTCAATGGAATTTCCAAACAATGGTTTCGCTATTCAACCATCCATAGCATCAACATCCACAGCAAACGAATCTGAAACAAAAAATAAAGATGTAAAAGGAAAAGTTCGTAAATCGAAAAATAAATCATCAAATATGCAAAAAGTTGATACCAATGCTAAATTAGAACGAAGTCGACAAAGTGCTCGTGAATGTCGTGCTCGTAAAAAACTTCGTTATCAATATCTGGAAGATTTGGTAAATAAACGTGAACATGCAAATATTCGTCTGATGAAAGAATTTGATCAGGTATGAATTGAACAATTAAAATTGAATATTTATCTGATTTTTTTGTTACAGTTACAGGGAATTGTTTCATTGTTATCATCTGATCAATATCACTTGGAAACTGTACGAGAAAAATATAAATCAATTCAACCGCCAAAACAATAAATTATTCTAATATAAAAAATACATTTCATTTTATTTTGTTTCGTTTTGAAATTTATCTATTTTATTGTTTCATCATTTATAGTTATTATTTGGAAAAAATAAAGATTTAATATATATAAAAAATATGATCATGAATTATCAAATCTGTTAATCTTTTTTATTTTTCATATCTTCCATTTCGGCAAGAATTTTTGACTTGATACCAATTTTTTTCAGATCTTCAATAAGTTCACCGTTTTGATGTTTTTCCAACAATATATCACAACCGCCAATGAATTCACCATTCAGAAATATTTGTGGTATTGTTGGCCAGCTAGTAAAATCTTTTATCGCTTTACGTAAATCATCTGATTCGAGTACATTGTGCGCTTGAAATGGTACACCATGCATACGTAAAACCTTGTAAATCAAATGATATCGTTAATAAATCACTTCAGAATGATTTAATTGTATAAAAATGAACAATCAACTAACCTGTACGACAGCATTGGAAAAACCACATCGTGGTGATTCGGGTACACCTTTCATAAATATAACTACTTTATCATTTTCGATCATTTGTTTTAATGTTTCATCATCATATTTTACAGGATTTGTTGATTGATAACGATATTGTTGTAATTGCCATAAAAATGGATTAACACTTTGTCGACAAATTTGATTGGTTCCTTTTTGAAGCCAACTTGATCGAATAATTTGTTGTACGATGGACATTTTAATGGATAGATTAAATATTCATAGGCATCAAATAGAATGTCAACAATAATAACAACAAAACAAAACAAAACGAAATTTTCAACAATAAATCGATTTGAATATCAAACAACGATCAATACACATGTATGATTTATCAATATACAAAACAAAACATATGACATTGAATTCTTGAAGATACGTACTTTATTGATTGCAACTTAACAAACACCCGCGTATTTTCAATATTAATTCGAATGAAAAAAGACAAAATTCTGTGTCTATCTAAATTTGTTTGTTTGTTTAATAAATGAATTAAAGGAAATCATTATTACATTGCGTCAACAAAATGCCATTCATATAAACGTAGACTAGACAACTTCAATTGACATTTTTGAATCAAAATCAATGAGAAAAAAAATCATAAATTGACTTTTTACACAAATTCGATTCATTAAATCAATAGATTCAATTTGAATTCTTTGATTTTGCCATTAAATAGCCAAGGTCATCTTTATCATCTAAATAATTTATTTCTATTCAATTGATTGTCATCTAACATTTCCAAAAATAAACAAATCAATCGAGAATGAAAATCACATTGTTAATTTCATCATCAAATAATAATAATAATAATAACATTGTAAAGATAACTTAATTTATTGGAAACGAAAACAAAAATACATTCACATTCATTGATACATTATGTCGATAATTATAGAATTGTAACTTTTCTATATATTGAAAATTTAATTTTCTCGATTACCAGAAAAAAAATACAAATAACATTAGCCTCGAAATTGAAGATTCAATTAAAACACATAAAGTGATTTTATACGTTTGTTGAACATTTTGAAAATGTGTCGATAATAAATTGACAATGTAAACATTGTCGTTTTCAATGACTATTGAAACAGATTTCGAGAATCATATTATTGATCATTGATTAAAAATTATTGAAAACAACATTATCAAACAAAACAAAAAAATGATGATTTTGTTGTTGTTGTTGTTGAAAATGAAAAAGTAATGGAATCTATATACAGGAATTCAAACAACTAGCTTCTTTTTGCCCATAATGTTATTGTTGAAGAAAAAATGAAATCAAAACCTTAAATATACCTTTCAAAAAGAAAATTATATTAGTTTAAAGATTATCTTTAAATTTTTTGAAAAATATTCTACATTTCTCAATGTTCAAACCAAACATCATTCATTCAATAAGAAAAAAAAATATTGAAAAAAAGGAAAGAAATCTGTTTCTATTTCTATCCATTGTATTCAATTATTTTTGATAATAAAATAACATTAATAATGTTGTTGTTGTTGTAGATTTTGATCTGGTTAGAAATATTTTTTCACTATTGTCAGCAAATCAAAATGAAAAATCTTTGCCAGAGAAAAAACCATATAATTCCAAATGATTATGAAATGGAAATGAAAAAAAAGAAGAAAATTTTCAATTTCATGTCAAGATTTTTCAATACTTTTTTTTTACTTTAACGTTTCCTTATACACACACGAACAACACCGGAAGATAACATTCGTTCAAAGCTAAAAAAATAAATGTTCAATGATCATCAAATATAGATAAATTAATTAAATTTATGTAATGAAAATAAAATTTCTTCTTCTGCTTTCTTGAAAAAGAAAAATGTCAAACAAAATTTTCATTTTCTTCATTTTTTAAACCGACGGAAAAGTATTATTATTATTATTATCATTTTGATATCATAAAAGTGGATCATGTTGTTTTTTTCTTGTTGAAGTTTTATGTTGGATTTCTTCATATATTTTATCCTGTGTGTGTGTAGAAAAAATCGGAAACTTTCGCTTCATCATCATTCGAATTCTTATCCATATCTTCAATGATTTTGATCAAGACAATAAAATTGAAAGAATTTTCTCTGTTTTTTGTTTTGTTGTTATTGAAAAAAATTCAACCGTATAATTCTTTGTCCGTTTGACCGATCAATGATGATGATGATGATGATGATGGTCATTCGTTTTGATTCAAACTGCGACAATTTTTTGTTTTGTTTCTTTCTGTTTTTTATTATCTTAAATCTTCTTTACTGACTGGACGATATTTTGTTGTTGTTGTTTGAAGCCAGTTTGAAAGAGAAAATCGTTATTTTTTTTCTGCTGTCGTCGGTGATTTTTTTTCAATTGATGACAATCTAAAAAAACAAAACAAAATGATAATATATTTCAATTTTGTTGACCGGTAAAATGTTGAATTTAAAAAAAAAATACAATGTCGAAATCTATTCACACGTGTAAAGAAAGAAAAATATTCCGAAAGGATTTTTCTTCAAATATCCAATTATCTGATTCATCAATGATCAATTTATCTGATGTTTGTTTTCATCGCTGTTTCATTTTGTTCAGTTTCTTTTCTTTTGTCAACAATATGTCATCGACAAACAAGCAAACAAATTGAAATGAAACAAAAATTCTGAAACATCATTTTATTCGAGGCTATAATCGATTCATGTTACTGTTTCACGTTGAACATGGATACAAAGAAAGAAATACATTTATTGATTTGATGATGATGATGATGATGATCAACATCATTATTTTTCATCATTTTGGTCTTTGTCACCAGCCAAAAAAAATTGATTTTATTTTATTAATCAGTTTTTGTTGTTGTTGTTGTTATTGTCATTGTAAAATGAATGATTACAAACCCTTAGGTCAGATTAAAACAGATAAACATAGTGAGAACGAATTTCCTTATAATTTCAATTTTATATGATTATAATTAAAAAATCAATATTTTATTCTTTCGATGTTGATATGATTCTGATGAATTCAATTTCAATTTTAGTGGATAAACAATTTCAATAATAAGACAAATTCTTGTGAAAGTGAAAATGAAATGATAATTTCTTTTTTCAATTCAACAAAAATTTTGTACTGTTACATCATCAAATCGACAGCCAGAATCCTTGTGTAAACGTTAAAACCGTTGCTTGTTTTTGCGTGTGTATTGGAACTTGAAACCTTGATTGGTTGTATGCGATCAATATTAAGTCAATCACTAAATAACAGAAACAATTTACTGGACAGAATTTTTATGAACCAGAATTTTCTTTGAAATTCATTTCATTTTTTTCAAAATTTTTTTTGTGTGTGTGTATGGTTTAAACATCATAGTCGATATAGGAATATAAATCACTTACAATGTTTTTCTTCTATAGTTTTTTTATTTTAACTGTATTTAATATTTGAATGAAATATGTGTTGAACCAAAAACAAAGTTGTTGTTTTTTTCCAAAATGAAAATTGTTTTGAAACATACTTTGATCACACATTCATTTATCATTGTTTTAGCAAAGGAAAAACAACAAAATATATTTTGTTTGAACCAAGAACCACGATTTTTTATTGTTTTTTTTTCATACTTTGTCATTCTTCTTAATCGGTTCCGTCATTTTTCTTGTTGTTTTTTTCTTCTCGTTGTTGTTAAACTTGTCTCCAGTTTTATCAACATGATAAATAGGCAAATTTCTTCTTGTTTTTTTCCCGTATTTTGTTTTCATTTGGATTTCAATGGTGGATTTGAGCCAAAAGAAAAAACAATATGAAAAACCTCAAACAAAATGAATATATTTTATGTTAGGAAACAAAAATGACAACATATAACCAACATGTATTCATTTAGTCACAGAATTCGATGAATGATGAGCATAAATGTATACATAAAAGAAAGAATTTGCCAACCAAAACATCTTTGTTTTGTTTTTTCTGATGTTTCTTTTTTTGTGGATGATATAATAATCATAAACGGTTCGGTTGAAATCTTTATGATTGAGACGAATAATTTTTCTTTCTTATTTCTTATTTCCAAATAATTTTGTCCACTATTTTATCACCAATAATTGTTTTCAACATCTGCAGAAAAAAAGTATACATTTGATTTGTTATGAAACTAACTGAGTGGAAAAAAGAATCGTTCTTTTTTTTGGTTGATGTTTGGTTTGAAAAACAAATAAAATTCTTTTTTGATGGTTTTTCTATTCGAATGTGGTCATATTTGATGATAAATAATTTCAATTTAAATTTCATATTTTTCCGTCGAAAAACTATTGATAAAAACACATGATAATGAATCGATTATTATTTATGAAAGATTTTGTATTACTATTCTGTCGTGTGTCTGAATGTTGATAACATTCTTTTTTTTTCTTGATGTAGAAAAAAAATATTATCGATCATAATATAATCGAATGAAAAGTGATTGAAAAAAAAAGAAAAATTTAAAATTGAAATCTTCAATCAGCCATAAACTAATGCGAAATAAAATTGAAAACTTGTCATACTGGTTGTTGTTGTTGATTTCATCAGTATCACATTATCACATTATTCTAACCAATCATTTTTGGGTAGCCAAAGAATCTATTTGTCCGTTGTGTTTTGGATTGAATGAATGAATGGAAAAAATAATAATTTTTACAAAAGATTTGAAAAGAATATTCTCTTGAGAGATTTTTTTTTTTTGTGATTGTTTCTATAAAATGAATTCTGAATAATGAATCTTGTGTGTTGAGAGATTTCTTTCCATCTCTCTCTCTCTATCGACTGGAACGAGTGAAAAATAAAAACGGAATAAATTTTTTTTTCTTGAATGAGCAAGAAAAAAACACTTACGAAAAAAAAGACACACACACACAATTATTTGACATTTTTTCTTTCATCTTTCGTATTTGATCGGAGCAAATATTTGATTGAAAATTAGCTGATTAGATATTCAAAGTTCATCTTAGCCCTTCAACAAAACAAAAAAGATTTTTTTCAAATCTTTTGTATTCGGAAACTATTTTATTTTCCATCATCATTGTTTGCTTCAAATCTTTTATTTCCCTTCGGATATTTTAGGCAATTCTATAGATAAAATTCCAAAATTTTGACAGAACTCTATTATATTGGGTTAGTGTTTATCACAAAAAGGCAAATATATAGAAACAGTAATCGAGAAATGAATAGGATACTAAGGTATTTTTCATCATAAAATTAAATTTCATTAAGCTAAATATTTTCAAGAGCATTCTTAGGATAAAAAAAATATGATATAATAACAAAAGATCATGATTCTTTCCATATTATAAATGAATAAATTCAGACAACA